GGACCGAGTTATTGAATTCCGAATTGATCTCATACCAGGGGCTGCACCTGTAGCAAAGACGTCGTACCGGTTAGCTCCGTTAGAACTAAAGGAATTAGTTGCTCAACTAAACGATTTAACAGATAAAGGATTTATTAGACCCAGCACTTCACCTTGGGGTGCTTCGGTCTTATTTGTTAAGAAGAAAGATGGATCTATGCGAATGTGTATAGATTATCGTGAATTGAACAAGTTGACAATTAAGAACAAGTATCCTTTGCCAAGGATTGATGATTTGTTCGATCAACTGGTGGGAGTGAGTTATTTCTCCAAGATTGACTTAAGGTCGGGGTATTACCAGCTAAAGGTCAGGGAGGAAGACATTGCTACAACAGCTTTCCGAACTAGGTACGGGCATAACAAGTTTTTAGTTATGCCATTCGGCTTAACTAATCCGCCCGCAACCTTTATGGATTTGATTAATAGGGTATGTAAGGAATACCTTGATAAGTTCATTATTGTATTTATCGACGATATTCTTATATACTCTAAGACAGAAGAGGAACACGCGGAACATCTTCGTCTGATACTAGAATTGCTGAAAAGAGAAAATTTGTATGCAAAATTGTCCAAGTGTGAGTTCTGGTTAAAGAAAGATCAGTTTTTGGGTCATGTTATATCAGAAGCAGGGGTGAAAGTAGATCCAGTCAAAATAGAAGCAGTTAAGAAGTGGGAAGCCCTGAAAACTCCTTCTGAAGTTTGAAGCTTTTTGGGATTGGTAGGCTATTATCGTAAGTTCATTTAGGACTTTTCTAAGATAGTAGTGCCATTGATCAAACTGACTCGGAAGAATATCAAATTTCAATGGGAGAAAGAACAACAAGAGGCTTTCCAACTATTAAAAGATCATCTCGGCAGTGCGTCAGTGTTGACTCTACCAGAGGGATCAGAAGATTTTGTGGTATATAGTGATGCTTCGAAACTGGGATTAGGATGTGTTTTTATGCAAAGAGGAAAGGTAATTTCTTATGCGTCAAGACAATTGAAGGATCATGAAAAGCAATATCCAACTCATGATATGTAATTAGTTGCGGTGGTGTTTGCTTTAAAAATTTGGAGGTATTATCATCTGGGGACAAAGTGCCAGATCTATACTGATCATAAGAGTCTGCAACATTTGTTTAGCCAGAAAGAACTAAATACGCGGCAGCATCGGTGGATTGAACTTGTTAATGACTATGATTGTGAAATTTCATACCACCCAAGAAAGGCTAATGTGGTAGCTGACGCATTGAGTAGAAAAGAAATGAGTGGAACTATTAAAACTGTAGCAATGAAAATAAGTTTAGTTCCTGATGTTCATAAAGAGATTCTGAGATGTCAGAAGGAAGCTATGAAAGAAGAACTTGTCAGGTCAGAAAAGTTGGGTAAGATGATTTCGACTCTGGAACCGCATAATGAAGGAAATATGTGATTTCAAGGGCGAATTGGGTACCGTGTTTTGGGGATATCCGGAATACTATATTAAATAAAATTCATAAGTCCCGATACTCTATTCATCCAGGTACCAATAAGATGTACATGGATTTTAAACCTTTTTAGTGGTGGCCCGGATTGAAGAAGAACATAGCCAGATATGTGGAACAGTGTATAACGTGTCTACAGGTTAGGATTGAACATCAGAAGTCGTATGGAAGTCTTCAATCTCTGGAAATTCCTATATGGAAATGGGATCACATTACAATGAATTTCATCATGAAGTTACCTCGAACTCCAAAGGGGTATGATGCGATCTGGGTAATTGTTAATCGTCTATCTAAATCTGCGCATTTTCTACCTATAAGAGAGAATTACTCTTTAGAAAAGTTGGCTCAGGTTTATATCAAAGAGATTGTAACCAGGCATGGAGTTCCATTATCTATTATCTCTGATAAAGATAGTCGTTTTACTTCGAAGTTCTGGGAAAGTTTGTAGAAAGCTCTAGGGTCTGAAATCCGACTAAGCACAACCTATCATCCGCAAACTGACGGGCAAAGTGAAAGAACTATCCAGACTCTCGAAGACATGATGAGAAGTTGTATCATTGATTTCGGGGGTTCATGGAAAGATCATTTGACACTGATAGAGTTTGCGTAAAATAACAGTTACCATTCCAACATCCAAACGGCACCATATGAAGTGTTGTATGGAATGTCGAACGCCGTTGTGTTGGAACGAGGTAGGTGAGAGGCAGTTAACGGGTCCTGAAATTGTTGAAGAAACTTCAGAAAAGATTGAACAGATCCGTGAAAGAATCAGAACAGCACAAGACCGCCAGAAAAGTTATGCTGATAATCGTCGAAAGCTGATTAAGTTTTGTGTAGATGATCTTGAGATGTTAAAAGTGTCTCACTGGAAAGGTGTTATCAGATTCGGAAAGAAAGGTAAGCTTAGCCCGAGGTATGTTGGGCCATTCAGAATATGTAAGTGAATTGGGCCAGTAACATATCAGTTAGAGCTACCAGAAGAACTAAGTCTAATCCATAACGCTTTTCATGTATCGAACTTGCGGAAATGTTTAGCTGATCCGAGTCTCGTTGTACCGTTACCGGAGGTTAAATTGGACAGTAAGCTGAACTTTGTGGAAACACTAGAAGCTGTGATTGACCGAAGAATTAGGGTGTTGAGAAACAAAGAGATCAGTTTAGTTAAAGCACAGTGAAAGTTTTAGAAAGGACCAGAAGCAACTTGGGAATTGGAATCGAAAATGAGATCAGAGTATCCATGGCTCTTTGATTAAAGGAATTCCGGGACGAAATTATTTGGAGGGGTGGATAATGTGATAACCGGATCCTGGTTATTACCTGAGATAATTAATACATGATTATTTGTTATATTTAATCATGTGAGTATGTGAATTTTATGCATAGGAAATATATGCATAATATGCATGCATGTATGTGAGTATGCATAAGTGAATAAATGCATGGAATATGAAATACATGTATGTATGGGTGATGTGTGTGCATGAATTTCATACATAAAAAGGGGCGGTTTAGCCGCCATATCCGTTTTAGAAAGATATAAAAGGGAGGTTAAACCTCCTTCACACTCTTCTGGCCATTTTGAGAAAGTTGAGCGATTTAAGAGAGTGTTRACCGGATTGTTCTTGACCGGAATTCAAGTTAGATTTCAAGTGACTGGTTTTAAAAGGAATTCAAAGGTGAGTGGTTTTACCATTTTATTTCAATTGTAAGTAATTCCTTTGGTCTGATTAATAATTGTTTGAAAACTTGATTTACCCGGTTTAGACTTAAACCGGACAAAACATGGGCGGTTTAAGGTTAAATCGCCTGATGTGTTAACCGGTGTAACCTTAAATCGGACAAAGGTCATGCAATTTAAGTTTTAGTGGAAATTTGAATTTTATAAATCACTTAAAGTTATTAAACGGAGAAGTAGGAATACGACTAAGGGGTGACCGGTTTATTTAAAATCGGACAAAGTCTTGAGTGTATGTGTTGTCCGGATTAATAAATTGGACAAATTTTTGAGTTGGGTTGCCCGGATTGTTAAATCGGACAAATGCTTGACCGGAGTGGTAAATCGGACACAAAGAATAGTGTTGTCCGGATTAGTAATCTGGCCAAGGTTTGACCGGAGATGAAGTCCGGTCAAGTCTGTATTGACCGGATTTGTGTGTTGACTTATGTATTAATCATCTTTTTGTTATTGTTCTTTTAACAAGAAATGAGAACTTTGATAAAGATGATTTTGAACTAATAATATTCCATTGACTGCGGTCTGTTTTATATGAAATTGTTTTGGGAAATGTTTTAAAGAAAAAATAAGGGTGGCATATAAAGGAGAGGTGTACCATGGGATAAGGGTGACATATCAAGGAGAGGTGTACATTTGGATATAAGGGTGACATTTATATGTGTGTTTTGTGATATAACTCTTACTATTATATGTTTTAAGATTACCGTGGTCTGAAACCTTTATTTCTTTGTGATTTAAAGGTTTAGGATCAGGGTTCATATTGGAAATCATAGTCTGGATGTTATTGAGAAGGAAATAACAGGTTTGGCCTGAAACTTCGAATAAACCTTGTTTAACTAGAAAGGTTTAAAAGTGACACTATGATATACCTGGTTAGTATAAACCTATTTTGGTTTTTGATATATTATTTGCAAGCAGAGAGCTTGGCTTGAAAAGTAAAAAAGATACTGGTAATTATGTTCTTACTTGTTCATATATTTGTTATTTATATGAAAAGTTGTTTTACATAAAAGTTTTGGTGATTTTCACTCTACAATAACATAAAAAGGGAACTCACTAGACCTTTTGGTCTAACCCTCGGTTTTTTGTGATTTTAAATATGTATTGAAGGAGGTGCATACGGTAAGGGGAAGAGGAAAATGTAATATTTTTTTTTATATTATGACATATTTAGTTTTGGTAGACGAAAGTGATTAGTACGAGAATTGTATTTTGAATTTTTGAACCATGTATTCAGTATTGATAGATTCTTGTACTAAGGGACCTATATGGTATATAAACATGTATTTTCTTATGTATAAGTTAGAATGGTTTAACTTCTTCAAAAACTCCTTATTACCGGTTTGACATCGGTATAAGTTGTTTATCCAAACCATCAAAAGTGTTTATTACCGATATTATACCGGAATAAGTCAATAAGTTGTTTTTATAAGCAATCCCAAACATCCGGTTACTTTATTCAATAAAACAAAAATATTGGCCTTAGAAATAACACCTAAAATTTCATTTTTAACTAAAATACCATCAAGCATTTCAAAGATGGAATCTTTACATCTCAGGTTTTGATAAACAAGCAAATGTTTTGTTGTAAAGAACCTTGGAAGACATAACTATTAAACTCCTTTCAAATTCCTTTTAGTCCTTCTGCTCTGAACAAAGGATTTGCCCTAACCTATACCAAAAAAGAAATATATGATGGCAATTGTGGCACTTGTACAAGGGTCGAAAGATCATGGGCTTACCCAGGAGATAAGGATTTTATGTGGGGAAAGCACACAAATATCTTCCATCTTACAACCCCGCCAATCGATTGCTATCCCTCTACGACCAATATAACACCTTTCTCATTATCTGGCGGTAAGTCCCCTACCTTCTCACTCTTGTCTTTCGCACTTTGCAATTCTGCTCAAGATTCTGTTATATGGCTGTTATTGCGCTTTGCTCCTCTACAATTTACTGTATCAACCGCAACTACACTAGTCGTACCGCTAGGGATGGTTCAACAAGTTATACTCTATCTCTAAAGTATTCTAAATGCTTCAAAGTGTCAAAGAATTTGAGTCCTCCATCTGGGTCAATGGTGGAATGGAAGAAACGTAGGAGAAAACTTGTGGGTGTTTGTGGGTTTGTGATTAGAAGTTCATTGGATGCTGAAAATTTGGTGGATAGTTTGAACAGCAGCATGTCTGATGAGGAAATTACTAGGGTTCTTAAGTCAATATCAGACCCAAGTGAAGCTTTGTCTTTCTTTAAATCAGCTGCCGAGCTTCCTAATCTTGTTCATGGTACTGAATCCTGTAATTATATGCTTGAATTGTTGAGGGTGAATCGGCGAATGGGTGATATGGCTGCTGTGTTTGATGTAATGCAAAAGCAGATTATTTATAGGAATATGAGTACTTACATGACCATATTTAAAGGGCTTGGCATTAAGGGTGGGATAAGACACGCTCCTTTTGCACTTACTCTAATGAGAAGAGGTGGGTTTGTTTTGAATGCCTATTCATATAATGGGCTGATTGATTTGCTTTTAAAATCTGGGTATTGTAGAGAGGCTTTGGAAGTTTATAGAAGAATGTTGTCCGAAGGGATTAAACCAAGTCTCAAGACTTACTCTGCACTTATGGTGGCATTGGGAAAACGAAGGGATACCAAAAATGTTATGGGGTTGTTGAGAGAGATGGAATGGTTGGGACTCAAGCCAAATGTGTATACTTTCACCATATGCATCAGGGTGCTTGGTAGAGCAGGAAAGATAGACGAAGCTTTTGAAATTTTTAAGAGAATGGATGGGGAGGGTTGTGGACCGGATGTTGTTACTTACACTGTTCTAATTGATGCCCTTTGCAATGCAGGAAAACTTGCAAGGGCGAAGGAAATGTTTGTAAAGATGAAGTCTAGTAGTCATAAACCTGACCGTGTTACTTACATTACTTTGATGGATAAATTTGGTGATTGTGGGGATCTGGAATCAGTTCAAGCATTTTGGACGGAGATGGAGGCGGATGGTTATGTGGCAGATGTTGTGACTTTCACTATTTATATTGATGCCTTATGCAAAGTTGGAAAAGTTGATGAAGCATTTGTTACCTTGAACTCCATGAAAAGTAAAAATATTTTGCCAAATCTTCAAACATATAATACCATGATTCGTGGGCTATTGAGAGTTGACAAATTAGATGGGGCATTAGAGTTGTTTGCTAGCCTCGACTCTCTAGGTATTAAACCTACTGCTTACACATACATACTTTTCATTGACTATTATGGGAAGTTGGGGGAACCTGATAAAGCTCTTGAAACCTTTGAGAAGATGAAGGTCCGAGGAGTTGTGCCTAATGTTGTTGCATGCAATGCATCTTTGTACAGTCTTGCAGAACTCGGTAGGATTGGGGAGGCTAAAAAGATGTTTTATGAGCTTAAGAAGAGTGGTCTTGCTCCAGATTCAATTACCTATAATATGATGATGAAGTGTTTAAGTAAGGCTGGGAAAATTGATGAAGCAATACAGTTACTTCATGAGATGGTGGAAAGTGGGTGTGATCCGGATGTGATTGTAATCAATTCTTTGATTGACACGCTTTACAAGGCTGAGCGGGTGGACGAGGCTTGGGATATGTTTCACAAAATGAAAGAGATGAATCTTTCGCCTACTGTCGTAACCTACAACACATTGTTGGCTGGACTAAGGAAAGAAGGTAGGGTTCAGGAAGCTATCAAATTATTTGAAAGCATGGCCTCATGTGGGTACCCTCCAAACACAATTACTTTTAACACCCTTCTGGACTGTATTTGCAAGAATGACGGGGTTGATTTGGCTCTGAAATTTATGAATGAAATGACTTACAAGAGTTGTATGCCCGATCTTTTTACTTACAATACAATCATTTTTGGTTTAACAAAGGAAAATAGAGTCGAAGACGCATTCTGGTTCTTCAATCAAATGAAGAAAATGCTCAATCCAGATTGTGTAACTTTATGCACAATACTTCCAAGCATTGTGAAGTATGGAAAGGTTGATGATGCTTTGAAAATCACTGAGGACTTCATTCATCGTGTCAGAAATAGACCTGAGAGGATTTTTTGGAAAGATCTCATGGAAGGAATCACAAGTGAAGCTGCATTAGATAATTCTATCTGCTTTGTGGAAGGGTTGATATCCAATGGAACTTGCATCAATGATTCGGCAATGATTCCTCTTATTAAAACTTTGTGTAAGCAGAAGAAAACTCTCGATGCTCATGCATTGTTTTTGAAGGTAACAAAAGATTATGGAATTCAACCAACACTAGAAGCATACTATCCAATGATTGATGGTCTTCTTGATGATCATCTTCATGAAAAGGCTTGGGATCTATTTAAGGAAATGAAGAATTCTGGGTGTGTTCCAGATGTTTTCACCTATAACTTGCTGTTAGGTGATCTTGCTACCTCTGGGAGAGTTGATGAGCTATTTGATTTGTACGAGGAGATGCTTTGCAGGGGATGTAAGCCTAACACAATAACTCACAATATACTGCTTAGTGGTCTCGTGAAGTCGAATAGTTTAAAAAAAGCAATGGATATGTATTATGATCTTATAAGTGGAGGTTTTTCTCCTACTCCTTGCACATGTGGTCCACTGATCGATGGTCTCTTAAAGCATGGGAAATTAGATGAAGCGAAGGACTTCTTTGATGAGATGGTGGAGTATGGATGCAAACCCAATTGTGCTATCTATAACATCCTAATGAATGGGTATGGAAAATCTGGTGATGTGGAGACTGCTTGTAATTTATTCGATAGGATGGTCAAAGAAGGAATAAGACCAGATTTAAGGTCCTACACCATTCTCGTAGATTGCCTCTGCCTGGTAGGGAGAGTGGATGATGCTATGTGCTACTTTGATCAAATGAAGGAAACTGGTCTTGATCCAGACGTAATTTCCTACAACCTCATGATCAATGGCCTTGGGACCGTACGTAGAATAGATGATGCTTTGGTACTTTTTGATGAGATGCGGAGCAGAGGGGTTTCTCCAAATTTGTATACCTATAATGTTTTGATTCTTAATCTTGGGATTGTTGGAAAGATAGAGGAAGCAGGAAGGATGTATAGAGAACTTCAAGTTATGGGTTTGGAGCCGAATGTGTTCACATATAATGCTCTAATTCGAGGGTATAGCCTTGCAGGAAATCCTGCCCATGCATATGCAATTTATGAGAAAATGATGGTCGGGGGTTGCATCCCCAACACTGGGACATTTGCTCAGCTTCCTAATCAATCTTGATGTTTCCAAGGTTCTTCAAGGACTATGGCATACTTGTGATACTTATACTAGTGAAGATCATGTGAGTGTCCTTCCTGTAACCCTTTTTTGCCCTTTCTTATGCATCAACTATTGAGTTGTTCGTTCATTTACATGGAATTTGTTATGTACTTTCTTTCAGGAGCTGCTCATCAACAGAGGCTACGTAGTTGATTGAAGGCTATGGATCTTGTACATGTTAGTCAAGTAGTTATTGCAGAAGATCTGTTTTGGTGAAAGCAATTCCGTTGTTAATAGGATGATGATAACTTAAGCATACAGAGAGTTGTGCCAGAAATTGTCTGTGAATATCATATAATCAAAAGGTTATAACATACTTACGGTTGTTATAACATACTTCCTTTCTTCCTTCCATTGGGGTAGAAGTCAAGTTTGCATGCATCACATCCACCCGATCTTTGGCAAAAGCACCCTAATCTTTGTTGTCATGATATGTTCTTACTTGCTATTGCCGTTAAGTTTATAACATACTTACGGTTGCTCAAATACAGATATTATAATATATCAACATAATCGAATGGACTATCATCTCGATGTTCATAGGAGGAAAACACTTTAATGTCTCTTATGTCTTCTGAAGATTCATATCACATAACCATGGTGTCCTTGTAGAACTTGGGTCCAGAGTGATGAGGTTACGGAAGGGAATGCTCTCATCTAATGCGCTAAGCTCATATGGTATGGATCTCTTACCCTCCCTTCTGGTTTGTTTAGTCTTTGCTACTTGAACTTATCACAGATTTCACCACAAATATATGACCAATTTTATCACCAATTTGTATTAAATTTTCAGGAGAGAACATGATGTTTTATTAATTGTATTCAATGTTTTAATAATATAATTAACGTTGTAATCTCCAGAATGGAAAACTGTTGAAGTTGAATGTCAATTTTTTAAGACTGGCTTTTGATTCTCTATTTAATAGAAATTTTGAAGAATCCGTTGGAGATGCTCTTAGACGGGATATGAAGTGACTGAAAATGAGGACGAACGGATATGATCGACAACTTCTTAAAGCCAATTCAGAATCTGAGAGGATATTGGGGTACAACAAATGAGAGGTGCGTCACTTTCAGGTTAATATCTCATTTTGTTTGTTGGTGGGCTTTTTATCTTTTGACATTTGCTAAATGGTTTTGTACAGAATGATTAACTGGTTAAAATGATTAAGAGACTTTCATGATATAATGCAAAATGAAATATAATTGTTTGGTAATTGTTTACAATGAAATTAGGACGTTGAATGGTTAAAGGAGGCCCGAGATACAAAATCATTCAGAGGGTTTTACAACCATTAAAAGGTAAACAAACAACCCCTTAGTTTGCTTATAGTTACTTGGATTCGTCTAAAATTGCTGGAAACTAGATTTATCTGGGCTTGTTTAGATACTAGGTTTGCTTTGCTGACTATGTATGGATTTAGCTTGTTTGGAAGGCTACCTGAATTTTAGTGTGAGGAGTTGATTTTATTTGGGTATTCAATTTGATATTTAGAGCATCTTTAACAGATTCTTCATTACATATTCTTTAAAATGGATGATAAAAATTCAAAATTTCTAGATGATATTAGATTCAACTTAAAGAGCTTCTCCATTTTAGAGATCACAGCATTAGTTGTATTATTGAAATAATTTCATACATTTAATAAAGGGAAAAGTAAAAAAAAACCCAATGGACTTTAGTATTTGGAATGATTAAGTACTTAGACAATTTTTTGAAACAAACAAGTCTTTGGACATTCCAAAACAGGTTACATGTTAGATACATCATTATGACGTATAAAACTGGTTAATGTGGTAAAATAATGGAAAAAATCTGGAAAAAAAATCAATGAACTTTTATATTTTGAACTATTAAGTTCCTAAACATTTTTTGAACAAAAAAAGTACTTATATTTATAAAACGGAAAATCACCAAAATGATCAAAATATACCTGAGATATTAATGAAATAACCAACTTTTACCAAAATTGCAAAAATATCTACACGGATCACCCTCGGGGGTCGAGGGTTGACCATGGGGGTGATCCCCCCTTCCTTGACAAAGAAAGTACAAAAAATATTAAAAAAATTAATTTGGTGGGTTTCATATGCATCACCTTTAGGAAACCAAACACTATTTGCCTCGATTTTGGTGAATCTACCTCCAGGGGCAATCCACGTCACCCAATCTCCCCCTGGGGGCGATCCATTTTTTCCACTTTTTTCATTTTTGTTTAATATCGATTAAAGGGTGTTTTTAATGAGTGAAAAACGATATTAAAATTGCTTTTTTTTTATCTTTTTTTTATTAACCTGGATATCCAACACGCTATGCGAGTTGACTAATCCCAAGGCGACCACCTACTTTGTAGATAGCCTGGAGTCACGGCATTTGAACCTCCATGGCCACAAGGGGATTTTCAATCCTCATTGGATTTGAACCTGAGACCTTCTGGTACTTTTGACCTTTGGAGCCAAGCTCAAACCAATCAGGCACCATTCTTGTGGTTTTTTTTATGGAGACGAAAAAAATTATTTGTATTTGATTTGATGGATAAAAATCAGATATTTTTTGTTGAATCTTATTTCGTGTTTTAGTGCAACAAATTTCATTATAAATACCAACTTCCTATTTCAATATTTTTCACACCTCCTCTTTCATTTCTATTCTCATATATTCTACTCTCACAACCCTTAACCCTTCAACACAATAAACCATCACAATCCTTAACCCCGTTAAACACAATAAATCATCATAATCCTTAACCCCATTAAACACAATCTACCATCACAACCCATCACCCTTAAACACAAATATGAAATCACGTCATGTTTTAGTATATCTTCAAAGTGGCCGTTCATTCCAAGAGATAAATGATGTCTTAGAGTATCTTCCGTTAAGCTCCCTCGTACATGTATTACGTTTGCCTTCGCCAATAACGCATTCTGGTGTCGTTAACGTGTCACGAAAAAATTAAGTTTGCGTGCTCCTTTCATTTTATTTTATAAAACAAATTCCTTACAAATATTATATCAGTTAAGCGACGACGACGATGTGCTAATGTTCTATAACGCCATTCATCAAAGTTTACCAGATATGATGACACTCTTTGTGGTCGACGATGGTGGTTATAGTGGAAATCCATCAAGTGTCGTAATCCATCAAAGTTTAGTGGGCGGTCCAAACACTTTTTACCTTGGTGGTATTAGCTGTGGAAATCCAAGCACACTCTTCCCCGACGGTAGTGGTGCAAACCCATATGGTTCAAGCACTTTTTTCTCGGTTGTGGTACTGGTGGAAATCAGAGTACTTTCTTCCCCAGTGGTGGCAGTGGTGGAAATCCAAGCACCTTCTTCGCGGTGGTGTTGATGGAAATTCATATTTTGAACCAAAGAATATTGTTCACCATGACAGTTATTTGGTTCAAGATTTGAACATGTCTCCAAGACAGTCCTCCAACCCGTACCTGATCCAGTGTCTGGAACAGTCAAAACCTTTGTAGGAGGTAGATATGGCTGAAGATGTTTCTGTTGCTATAGAAATTTTGAATATACCCGGATTTGATAACTCCGATGCTGAAGAAATCCAGCCAATAAGGAATAATTTTTGGGGTATGCCCGACCCAACACCTTGTCCAGACCCTGTTATCAAAAATAGACAGGGAAACATTTCCTAACAGCCTACATCCCATGTCAAAGTTCTCCAAACCTTTGACTCGAAGGAAGCATTGAAGTTCGCATTGGGATTAAAATGCGTTTATGAAAACTTTCAGATCAAGGTTAAGAAATCATTCAAACACCGGTACGAGGCGGTGTGTCACTCTGCTTCAGACTGTGATTGGCGTTTAATGGTTGTCTCCATCGATGGTGCCAGTATGTTTCAGGTACGAAAATTGCACGATGAACACACATGTTCAAGGTCCCAAGTCCACCCAAACCACCGTAATGCGAATAAAAAGGTTTTAGGTCATATATTGACAGGGAGTTTAAAGGATTGTAGGAGAGTATATTGTGGAAAAGAAATCATGGAAGATGTGAATCAATGGTCCAATATTAGCATCTCTTATAACCAAGCATGGCGAGCAAAAATGTATGCCTTGCAACTGTTGAGGGGGACCCTTGAATCGTCGTTTAACCTACTCCCCGTTTATTGTCAGAATTTGAAGATAGCAAATCTGGGGCTGTGACAGAGATCACTGTTAATGGACTTAGACAATTCGACATGTTGTTTGTCGCACTCGGTTGTTCGGTAATACTTATTTGTGATATTCTTGAATTATTGTCATAATTTTATGTTCTAAAGTTTATATTTTTAACCTCGTTCATCTGCAGATTCGATCGTTTCTAGGACACCTGAGACCGCTCCTTATAATGGACGGTGCCCATCTGAAGGGGCCATATGTTGGCACCGTGTTCTTAGCGGTCCATATGGATGGAAACAATAGGATCTTACCCATTGCAATGGGAGTGGGGAAGACAGAAAATGGCCCGTCATGGACATGGTTTTTACATAAGTTGAGGCAATGTATCAGTGAAGTGCCCAATTTAACTTTCGTAACCGATAGGGCTGCCTCTATCGACTTGGCTATACGAACTGTATTTCCCAACGCGCACCACAGACTTTATTGTCGGCATCTGAGCCATAACTTGCACCTAACCTCCAGTGAAGACAAAAGAAAAAGGTGGATGTTCTGGGAGGCATGCAAAGCTTATAGGTTGTCGGACTTTGAAGCTACAATAGATTTGATGTGGCACAGTCTACCTAACGCCGCTCAATATCTTGAGGAAGTTGGTTACGCTAGATGGGCACGATTGCACTTCCCTGGATTGCGTTACAGTGCAATGACTTCCAATAGTGCGGAGTCCGTCAACTCAGTAACCCGGTTTACACGTAACCTTCCGATAACAATGTTAGTGGAATTTTATCGGGCGACATTGCAACAATGGTATTTTATACGTTGGCATAAAGGAGGTAAATGCAACCATCAAAAACTATATGTTTGATTATGTAACATATGCTAATGATATCAAATATTGGCAGCTCAAATGATGAATGCAGTAATTCCTTATGCGGAGGCGAAATTAGAAAACAGAATCCATAGGAGTGCAAATTGGAAGGTATATCTCATTAGCGATTTGTTGTTTGAAGTTGATGACATGTATAAGAAAGGAACGTGCAATTTCTAGGCTAGGACTTGTACATGCATGCGATGGCAACTTTCTGGTATAGCTTGCGGTCATGTGATATCTGTTGCTCGAAGTTTAGATATTCAAGACTGTAGTCAATTTTGTTCTGTTTGGTTCAATTCCGATTCTTATCGTGCAACATACGAGGAGGAAGTAATTCCCTTTCCACCAAAAGCTGAATATGTGTTGCCCAAAGAACGTATGACCGTTCTACCACCTCACTTGAACATACAAAACTCTGGCATGCCACGTAACCGTGATCATATCCTGTCACGAGACGAGGAACCAATAGTGAAAAATTGCAGTTGATGCCACCAGAGTGGACATTTTCGATATAATTGTCCGAGTCCGATGCCAGCTTCTAGGCCGACGCATGGAAGTTCAAGTAGTCGTCGAAGATCAGTTAGTCGTTCAACCGATTATGGTTCGTCTCAACCTGATACTACACAAGAATATGTATTTGATACTTACGATTTAAGTACGTAAATGTACGTTTGTAAAGTGTAGTTTTGTTGTTTTAATACTAAATGACAGTTTGATTGAGAAATACATGAAAATTAACCATTAATACATAGACGGACATAGCTAACATCAACTTAAAGAACAACATTCATACGTAACATTACCATGAAAAACATCAATGAGAACAACAACATTAATACATAGCATTCTTTAGTTTCCTTCTGGATATAAAGTTGTTTGCAAGATTCAATCCAGTACTGCTTTTCAATGATCATTTCCTGCATCATAGGGTACCCTTTTGCTATGTCCTTGACAAGTTTTTCCTCAGCTCGAATCTCTTTCTGCAATTGCTTTATAGTTTTTTTCTTCTCTTCGATCATTTCTTCTAGTTTATTCTGTATCTCCTTGTTTGTCCACCAATCATCATTAATCTTCTTAATCTCCGCTTCAGCTTTTTCTATGGATTTCTTCATCCTGGTAGGCATGGTTTGATAAGACGGAGGGTTTGATGATGATGGGATTGCAGTTT